CTGATAGCCCGAGGCATAATACAAATGATTGTTGGACTTTGAAGAATAAGATACAGGACTTAATTGATGCTAAGGAGATTGAGTTTGAGGCGCCCGAAAGACCTAATGTTGTGACTGCTCCTATCCCAAAGCATGGAGTGAATGTTATAGATGAAGACTCGTTTGTGGTTTCTGTGAACGACATTGTTACCCCTTTGATGACTGTGAAGAAGAACCTTTTGCTAGCCGGTTTATTTCCGGGCTGTGACAAAGATTGTCGTATGTGTTCTATTCTACCTACCGGTTGCCATCTTTTGAAATCAGGCGTCCAATGCCTGATGGATAGTAAAGAGATTCTGTTTGAGAAGATTGTTGTTCCTCTAGTACATACTGAAGAAGTTGCCATTATCACCATTTTCGACAATTCTTCTAAGGTTCCCTCGAGGAAGCCTGTTAGAATTACATCTGTTCCAAGAATCGCACCTGTGATCATCACTGTTCCGAGGCCCATCCCCTATACCTCTGATAAAGTTGTCCCTTGGCACTATGGGGCTAATGTTTATTTTCATGGAGTTAAGCAAGAGTTGGATGCTGATATTGACGTCAGCAATATTGTTGGACCTTCTAAAGTCACCCGCAGCGGAAGACTTTTCTCACCTGATATCTCTCCACTAACTGCCCGAAAACCCGTTGTTATTACACCTGTCAGTGTACCTGCTACTATTCCTGTTCAAGTTCCTATTCTTACCCCTGTCGCCGAGTCATCTGACACTCGGGGAAAAGGGATCACCAGTGAGCCTGCCCAGACGGAGGCACCAAAGACGATTACTATCGAAGCTTCTAAGCAAGAGATGGAAGAGATTCTGAAAATCATCAAAAAGAGTGACTACAATGTAGTTGAACAGCTGGGGCAAACCCCGTCCAAGATTTCTATGTTGTCACTGTTACTATGCTCAGAGGCCTATGCCAATGCTCTAATTACATTTCTGAAGACTGCCCACGTACCACAAGAGACGTCAGCTGATCAGTTTACAAATTGCATGGATAATCTGACTGCTGATAATGGGTTGGGTTTCTCTGACGCTGACTTGACTGCTAAAGGGAAGAATCACAATGATGCCCTGCATGTCTCCATTGAATGCAGGGGCACTACTCTTGCTCATGTATTGGTGGATACTGGTTCCTCATTGAACGTCTTGCCTAAGAAAGCTCTAGACCGGTTGGACTGTGAAGGGTTAGAGCTGAAACCAAGCAACATCGTTGCCAGGGCCTTTGATGGGTCTAAGAGAATGGTGCATGGAGAAGTTGATATTCCGATTAAGGTTGGTTCTTAGGTTTTCAATTCCACATTCTATGTGATGGACATTCGGCCATCTTATTCTTGTTTGCTGGGTCATCCATGGATCCACAAAGCTGGGGCCGTAACCTCAACACTCCACCAGAAGCTGAAGTACCCGGTCAAAGGGAAGATTGTGACAGTACAAGGAGAGGAAGAGTACATGGTGAGCCACCTCAACTCTTTCCGATACGTAGAGATGGATGGGGAGTTCATTGAGACCCCATTTCAGCATTTTGAAGAGGTCCCCCAGTCACTGGCATCAGCTGAGACTGTTGTTGAAGATTCTCCTATGAAGATGGATTCCTTCAAGGATGCCCGGGCTATTATTGAGAAAGGTGGGTGTGCACAATGGGGCCGACTCCCTGATTTTACACAGAATACTAAACAGGTTGGTTTGGGTTTCACTGCAGAAGCTCAAAGGGCTGTTCGGAATGCACGGATTAGAAGACCTCCCGTGTTCATCAGCAACTCGGGAGTGAATGCCATTGAAGACGATGTGGAAGAGTCTGAATTCGACAGTTGGATCTATCCTACGACCGACAGTGGACCAAGCAACTGGACAGCAAAGGATTTCACCCATATTTCTTTTGTTACCCAGTAATGAAACTTTTTGTTTTGAATATGTAACAGACAATGTTTTAAACTTTATGGCCTGGTGTCCTACCCGGGGCACCGTGGCTTCATTTGTGAGGGCTTTATGTGTGTTATTTTCATATATCATTAATAAAAGCATTGGACGTTTCTTGCATTTCAAATTTTGCGCTCCTTGTTTTTCTTTTATTATATATTGCAAAATAGCTATTTTACACACACTCACATATACAGGTCTACATCCACTCTGGATCTCACTGGTAATGACTCTGCTACTGCCAGTTATGACTTCGAAAATCCGATCAGCTTAGCCGAAGACGAAGGTGAAGATGATTGCGAAGTGCCTGGTGAACTTGCAAGACTATTACTTCAGGAAGAGAGGGCCATTCAGCCGCACGAAGAGCCGGTGGAATCAGTGAATTTGGGTACTGAGATAGACAAGAAGGAAGTTAAGATCGGTGCAAATCTGGAGCTTAGTGTGAAACAATAATTGATTCAGATGCTGCGTGACTATGTTGAGATCTTTGCTTGGTCTTATGAAGATATGCCTGGGTTGGATACCGATATTGTGGTTCACCGCCTGCCTACCAAGGAAGATTGTCCTCCAGTGAAACAGAAGGTCCGCCAAATGCGCCCAGAGATGTCTGAGAAAATCAAGGCTGAAGTTATGAAACAGTTTGACGCCAGCTTTCTAGTAGTTACTTCTTACCCTCAGTGGGTTGCCAACGTGGTTCCTGTGCCGAAGAAGGACGGTTGTAATACCCCAAATTTTTCCTACCCTTTTTACTTCCTATCTGGCTTACGCATTTTTGCATTTTTTCATTAGGTCATCTAACACATCATGCATCATCAATCAATAAATTGGCATAAGATCATGGATTTTGAGGAATAAGGGTTGGTGTATGGCTTTTTCTCTAACACTGTGGACTTCTTTTAGTGATACAATTTTTGGATCTCATCAAATACTTGCCGCTTCAATTGTGAGTCATCCCAAGGCTATCTCGAAAGGCTGCAAGCTTAAGCAGTGAGGAACATCGTCTTATACTTATCACCTCCACATGAATGATGATTTATTTCCATGATCATATAAATTTCAAAGGGGTTCTATAATTACTTAAAGTGCAAATGGTTGAAGATTTTGATATATCCATGGCCATTAAGATCTTGTTCAAGGATGCTTCAATATGTCATACAAAAAGGTTATCATATAAGAAAATCGTATCTTTTACGAGTTAGTATTTCAAATGGTCCTTTCTTCATCAAATGAGGCTTAGTTATTCCTTGAATCTCAAGGCATATGTTCACGAGCTCTAGGCAAGAGAAGAAGATTCAATAGGATACTATTTGCAAATTAGAAGTTTGTAAACTTTATGATGCAAAGCTCTTCGTCGGGTTTATTCGCTTACTTGAGATATAATATGCTTTAGGGGACTTCATTTCCAATACATTAAGATCAAAATCTAAAGCTTCTTCAAATATGGTTTTGAAGTGAGGATTAAGAAAGATGTGAGGCTCGTTCATTCATTTGAAGATGTTTAGGCATGCTTCCATTCAAAAGTAAAGAAACTCGGCACTACAAGATTGTTGTTGGCAAAGGCTCTTATCAAATTCATATCACAACCATGGAGTTATATGCAACATAAAATTAAAAGATATTGGAGATACAAAAGGTAATTTGAAAGAGAAGACTACTTGGAATATTTGGGCTTCATCATTAAAATTCAAGGGTTCACATTCATTCAATGATATAATCTTTACAAGTTCTAAAGCTTTACTCGTGATTTGTCAAAAGGTTATCCAAATTCATTCTCGTTCATTCAAGGTCATAACCATGCAATTTACAAGCGGTGTCATTAGAACATTACAAGAGAAGATTTCAAAAGGGCGTTTACATCCAAAATTACTAAATCAAAAAAACAAGAATTTACATTAAATATTCAAGTGGTCTAAAGCTAAAGCATTCTAAACCAAGGTCTCCATCATTTCTAAATGTATTTATCTTCAAGCCACTATCTTCCAAGATTGCCCCATTCCAACCTGGTTATGTCCAAGCCTCAGTCCATGTTTCATACCAAAAGAAAACCTGCATAAACAACCATTTTTCAAGTCGGTTCAGTACCAATATGTAATCAAGTTAATTTAATTTGAAATACAAAAATTAACAATTACACCAAGTATTATGTGCTTAAAACAAACCAACACAGAAATAAAAATCCAGAATCTTGAAGAGTGAAAACAAGTAATCAAAATAGCCCTAGAAGATTCCAAATGTTCCACTCAGAATCTTTGCAAGTTACTCAAAGATTGCATTGATCAATTCAAGGACAATCGCCGCTACCGAAATGATCCCAGATTTCTCAAGATCTGGCTCCTATATATGGATGCTAGTGCTGATTTTGATAGTGTTTTCAAGGAAATGCTGAACAGTAATATATGTGCCAATGATTCTTCACTTTATGTATATTCTGCATGTTTTTTTTGAAGCAAAGGGTAGATTGTGCGATGCTGAAACGATCTACAAACTCGGGATTTCCAAAAATGCAGAGCCAATTGAGTGGTTGGAGAAGGCACATGCCTTATTTCTCAGTAGAATTACTGAAATATGTAATGCTGCTTTAAGCCGGAAGGTTGATCATATAGAATCTGCTACTTTGGAAAACAATGGCATTAATCCATGGTACACCTCTACTATGAATGACCTTTTGAAGAAGATAAATCCTTTAATGAGGAAATTTGAGGGGTACTGTTCGAGCACTAAACCTTATACAGGAAAAGTGGCCTTATCCACTTTAAAGAATGCATCAAGGAATAAAGTTATAGAGATTGGTGGAATGAAGTACCACATCAAGGGCTGTGCCGGACAGGGTGGTTTTGCTCAAGTATACCTAGGTGGTTTGGATATTTTGTGTATGCAAGAGGCTTAAGGAGGAATATTAAAGCTGGAAATGAACGTAGTAACATGACATGGTGCATGGACAGGATTATAGTTGTTGGTTCGGTCCGGTTCTGGAACAGTGCTGCTTGAAACTAATTGGGGCACTCTCAATTTCGGAAGGGTCATTTTACACTAGGCATGTCTGGATTTTGTGCAATGTCGCGCTGCTTTCCATTTCCACCACTAGGGTATGAAAAGAAGACTAGAACGGATGAGGTTGACTTACCAAAAAAGGAAAAGCATAGAAAAAAAAAAGCACAAAAAAGATAAGGACAAGCTGAAGGTCTCAATGCAGGTAAACTCCAAAAGGAAATCAAGCCTGATAAGAAGGATGTCTTTGTCGATAATAAAATTATCAAACAGTATACTGGTAATAATGGGGAGATGGTTAGAGAGATTAATCATCTGGCTAAGGAGAACAAGGATTCTAAATTCCTCCTGGAGTTTGAGAGGATAATTAAGGAGGGTAATGGAGCGGCTGGTAATCAATTGGTTCAGAAGTTTACAAATTCAGACCATAGAAAAGATGAGGGGACTGTTAGGTTGTTGGCTAGGAATAGTGGCACCTTGCGCGATGACAGTGAAAAGCTCAAGGACAAGGGTTTTTATGCTAAGAAGATTGAGGGGAAAGGAATTAATGCCCAGGTACGGCCTTTTGGAAATGCAACAGTTCAGAACCACACCGGCAATTTTCATCCTAAAGCTGATGGAGTGCCCAAACTTTTGGGGAAGTATATGGATAGGAATTTGGAAGCAACAGTTGGGGGAAAAGAAAAGGTTAATGAAAATAAAGAGGAAGGAAAAGAAAATTCCTAAAGGAAAAGTGACTAAGGAATCTCTTAATGATTACAAACTAACAAAAATTCTAACAGCCCTGTAACTATTAACAAAACCACTAACAGAATCACCAACTGTAACTGAAAATAGTCTAACTAACTACTAACCTCTAACAAACCAAGCCTAACAGAATCTAATCTCTAACTGTCATAATAGAAAAACTAACAGAAATATCTTAGCAACTGACTCTAACTGTCTTAACCAATTTTTGCTAGCTCACTGTAACTAACTCATGAGAGATTCAATCCCTACCATTCATTTCTCTAGCCGATTCTCAAATTCAAGGGCCCATATTTGTTCACCTGTAACAAACTTAGCTGCTATATAACAAAGTCTGCATTTCACAATTTGGAGAGAATTCATTTACCATGATTCACAGAAAATCACAAAAACTCACCTTGACACTCTCTGAAAATCACGCCAATGCACCTGTTTTATTCCTTTGTATCCTCTTCATCTTCATCACATCAATTGTCTTCATCTTCTTCATATCATAGCGTCTCTATCAAGTTCACGGAAACATCAATATTTCACAGAAGCGAAGCAAATTCGGAAATGCAAAAAGAACAGAGAAGAAGAAAGAGAAAGATATCATAAGAGCTTACCCGACCTGTTTCTTGAAGGATTCTCTGGATTCTTATTCCGATTATCAGCAATCAACGAAACACCGTCGGAGCGTCTCCGACCGGTAAGATCTGGAACCTCACTTTTTTCGTCTTCTTCATGGCTTCTTGATGCGAGTATGTAGAGAAAAGCGTGTAGACTAACGGCCCTATGGTGGCGCATGCTAGAGTCCTTTCATCCTTGTTTAATTTGCATCCTCGGAGATTGAGGGTTTATGTGTTTTTGATAAGATTTAGAACGGGTGAATTGAAACTAATGAAAAATGTTGACCGATTCCTATTGAGAGGGTTGAGATAAAGAGATTGGAGTGCGATTTAAGCCTTGCAGTCATTTGGCGGTGGCATTTACGGAGGAGAAGGCTCGCCGGAAATCGCACGAAGAGACTCATTTTTGCAAGGTCACATGGATAATCAAAACGCAACGTTCTGGCTTTATCATTATTAAATTTTTTATTCCTTGTTAATTTTCTTTTTTCTTTTTTGTTTAATTACTGCCAATTACATTTGGATAGCATGGGCCATAATTCTATTGGTACTACCAGTACTACTGCTTGCACCCTTATCTAGACCCAAGACCATATCTTAACCCATTGCATTATTTTTGGACAAACTGAATCTTATATGACAAAAAAATATAATTAGGCCTTGTGTTGGATGCGCTTAGTATTGCATTGGGCTTAGAGGTTGCTGATTCTATATATATATATATATATATATATATATATATATATATATATATATATATATATATATATATATATATATATATATATATATATATATATATATATATATATATATATATATATATATATATATATATATATATATATATATATATATATATATATATATATATATATATATATATATATATATATATATATATATATATATATATATATATATATATATATATATATATATATATATATATATATATATATATATATATATATATATATATATATATATATATATATATAAAGAAATTAATAAAAAATTAATAGAGGATAATAGAATTTTCCCCACGAAAAAACTAATAAAAATACTTTTTCTTTTAGTTTTATTCATATTTTATTATGTTGGGCCTCGTTATTTTTGATACGTTTGTTCATTGTGCGAGGAATTTCTGATTATGCTTTGCATTTGCAATACGTGTTCGCTTTTATCTTAGTTAAATATTGTTTCTGACTCTGTTCGTTTCTTGGTGAAGCTTGCTCGACGTGCACTCCTTGATTTTTCAGTACTTTCGATTCGCTCTTTACGACTTGCTCACTTTGGTAGCCTCGGCTGCTACTCTTACACTTCTCTTCAATTTATTGTAATTCGTTATCACTTCATAGAAATCATGAGAAATAGGGCGTTATCGCAAACCACATGCATGCTAACATTATGTAGAATTCCCTCAAAATTCTAAACTTCAGGTCTAACCACGCATGATAAAATTAGGTCTAGAAATAGGTTAATTCCCCTTTAACTTTTCTTTCCCCTTTTGCATTCGCACTTAAAACTAAAACTTCTTTTTCTTTTCAAAATTCAAAACACTTTAAAACTACTGATGAGAATCATGCTTTTGCTTAGTACGGGAAATGATAAGCGGGTCTCTTCTCGATCTTATTGTTCTTCATCTCAAGCACTGGTGTGGTTCAATTCTCAAAGACTCCTTTCATGGCTAAGTAGAAAAATGGCTAATATCTCTCTCTTGAGGTCAATCAGTCATCATCTATAACAAAATATAAACCAACTCAAATCTTTTGTGCGCTCGAGCACCTTTCCTTAAAAAACCCTTTTCAGGTAAGGACATGATTAATTTGCTTCTGTGCCAATGCATAAGTCTCCAAAGGTCGAGCTGCGGCAGAAGGCGGAATTAACTTCGTCCATAAAAAACACAAACAAATAAAAACATATGAGTCGAACTACGGTAGCTCTAATTCCTCAAAACGGATACGTAGGCATTGGGGTAGGGCCCAAGCGAGCATAATTTTATTTTCCCTACATTCTTTTTCTCCTTTCTTTTGCATGCATTCCTTTCAGTAGTATGGTAAACAATAAGCATAGACGAAACACACCCATAAGATAGATAACAAGAGTGGATACCGTAGAGTACTACGGGCGTGTGGGGTGCTAATACCTTCCCCTCGCGTAACAGACTCCCTTACCCGATCTCTCGGTCGCAAGACCGTGACTTCTCCCTCATCAGGTTCTCTCGATGTTTACCTTTCCCTACATGTGGGATAAAAGAAGTTCGATGGCGACTTCATTGTTTTGATGATTTTCAGCCGGTTGTTTCAGCTGGCGACTTCACTGGGGAATAGGTCGACCAAGTGTTGGTCCATCCCGGAGTCGCTCCTAGCTCTTCTTTTCTTTTCTTTGGGTGTTTATCTTTACGCTTTCGGTTTATTCATTCATTTTGTATATACTTGAGCATACATATGCATTGTATTTTACTGTCTTCCATATACTACTGCTGTACAGGATCTACTTCTTATTGGGTTGGGATGTTACTTTTGAGGTAAAAGGCCCAGTACCCAGGCCAGAGTGCACTAGGACACCTAGGAATAGAGTGGAGGCATGACGGCTATAGGACGTGGTCCGATTAGTGCAGTCATGTCACATACCACGCTCGGATGAGGTTCAAATGAATTACTATTGGCACCCACGTTTGTGGGTAAGCCCATAGCACTTTCAGGCGGACCCGTGATTTTCGAGTTACCATTATCTTACCCTGACCTAGTTTCACCCATGAGTGGGGAGGGAATTTCTATCTCAGGTATAGATGGTGACTCATATTCAGATGGTTACTCATATTCAAATGATGATTATGCTCAAACAGTGACTATCGGTTCTATTGGATATGCTCTGGAACTCTGTCAATGATTAGGAGGTTCTCAGATTTATTTTCTGAGTCCCGAGTCTGTTCATAAGATTGTATGGTTTTTGTTCCAGACCTATGATCCCGATACTTACAAGCTACGCAGAGACAGTACAACAGATATTGGTATCATGGAAGTAGTAACACCGTGATCATTTTGCATTTACATCTAACATGTTTATTTCTCAAAAAAAAGAAGTCAGAAAGATGAAATTATCAACCTTGCATATGCATGTCCACTTTGGATACCTCACTGGCATAATTTTCGCCAATAACATTTGGCAACGGTGATGTTCTCAAGAAAACCAAAGGAGATAATCATACTTATTTGTACTATTCAAAGTTTTCCGCTCAAGTTCTTGGCCTTCTTTGAAGAATCTAGAGGACCATTTTCGTCATTTCGACCCTATTTCAGTCTTACAGCTACAAGTTACACATTCTAGGACTACCAAATTGTTCCAATTCCGGAAGGACAATCCTCTTTGCTGAACACCTACCTGTCACCAAGTCCGGATAGGCACAATCTTGAAATTGTCGATAAGACACTTTATTCGAGCCTAAGCGACATGAAAAATAACCTACCCCCGAACTAATCATTATTGTTACCAATTGCTCACACTCCCATAACCTTCTTATATTCAGTTCTGTGGGAATTTCTCTTATTTTTGGATGTCTTCTTCATGTGGTCGTTCTTGTCATCATGTTGCTCGATTACTATTGACGGTAGTTGAACCATGGAGAACCATAGTGGACAATCATTTCATACATCATACATATCATGCATTTCATGAATTGCAGGTTTGCTGGCAGGAGTTCTTATCTGATGATTTTGCCTTTTATTATAGAATCTACAAGACGACTTCCATACATCCTTATCGCACTCGAGCCAACAAGTTGAGGATTATGGAATAGATTGAGCAGAACCAGGCCTCTCTCCGCAAAGACATGGACACCATGGGTGACCGGATGAACCAACTCATGGAAACTCTTCATGCCGTCATCCAAGGGCAGGAAGAGCTCAGAATAAGTGTCACAAAACTGGTAGACGTTGCCTCCACATCCGAGAACGGCGGACCCAAGAATGATCATGGGGGGATTCCTAAGGAGAACCCACAGATGATTATAGATGACCACCATGATGTCATTGATCTCGATGACCCTCCAAAGGATTCTACGACTGATCTGTCTGAAACTGCTAAGATGTACAAGGCTCTGGAAGAACGCTTAAAGGCTATGGAGACTTCTAAGAAACCAGGATTCAGTGCCGCTGCTATGTGTTTAGTTCCGGGGGTTGTGATTCCACCGAAGTTTAAGGTACCTGATTTCTACAAGTATAAGGGGGTTACATGCCCAGAGACTCATCTCCGATCTTACTGCAGAAAGATGGCTGCTTATGCTAGCAATGAGCCATTGCTTATGCATTTCTTTCAGGACAGTCTTGCTGAAGCTCCATTAGAGTGGTACATGCAGTTGGAACAAACTCACGTTAGTAATTAGAGTGAACTTGTTGATGCTTTCTTAAAACATTATCACTACAACACCGCCATGGCACCTAGCCGTGCGCAGCTGTAGAGTATGTCTCAAAAGACTGGTGAGTCTTTCAAAGAGTACGCCCAGAGATGGCGCAGTTTGGCCGCAAGAGCTCAACCTCCTCTCCTAGATCGGGAACTAGTGGATTTGTTCATGAGTACCCTTCGAGGCCCGTATTTACAACATATGCTCAGTAGTACTTCTGACTCATTTTCAGACATGGTCATCATCGGAGAGAGGGTTGAAATGTGTATTAAAGTGGGGACTATTTCAGGTGCATCTAGCACGAATAATAACAAAAACTCAGGTGGTGGGAAGAAACCATACTCTAGCGGTTTCGTCAAGAAAAAGGAAGGAGAGGTGAGCAATGCCTCCGATGATAAGGGGAAGGCTACTATACAAGTTCCATATTACCAGACCCCCGCGGCTGCTCTGCAACAACAATACGCATCGCCACGAAACTATCAACAGAAGCAAAGGCCTCAGGGACAGAGGGGTCAACAAAGGCAGCAAAGGTATCCTGAGAGGAAGTTGGATCCAATCCCGATGTCGTATGCTCAATTACTCCCGCAGTTGCTAGCTGGTCAGTTGGTACAACTTTGAGAGTTACCTCCCCCGCCGGCAGAGCTTCCAAGGGGTTATGATGTTAATGCACATTGTGAATTTCATTCAGGTGCTCCCGGTCACTCAATTGAAAACTGCAGAGCTTTGAAATACAAGGTACAATCTCTATTAGATGCTAAAGAGCTAAGCTTCGCACCTATAGGCCTTAATGTTCAGAATAATCCTATGCCTCCCCACCATGGGGCTGCTGCCAACGCTATTGAGTTTGACAAGGACCATGACTTAGTGACTCAAGTTGAAGAGGTTCAAATGTCAATGGCAGTCCTAAGAGAGCATCTTTTACAGCAGAAAGTTCTACAAGAGCTTCATAGTTTTTGTTTGAAATGCTCATCCAATCCAGACGAGTGTGACGATTTGAAAAATTCCATTCAAAAACTGATGGACGAAGGGATTGTCAGAGTTGAGAAAGTCGTTCCCGAAGGTGATGTCGCTATTTTGGAAATTCCGTATTATCCGGCCAGTGTCCAGAGAAATGCTTCAAGAGTTCCATTGGTTATACAGGTTCCAACGCTCCCTGCACCAAACATGAATTCGGTTGCTCCCCTGCCAACCCAAGCGTCAACACTTCCAAGTTCTGTTCCTAACTCATTAACTGACAACAGGGCAGTGCCATGGGAATACAACGCCGTTTACATTCGGGGAAATAAAGTTGTTTGTTCGCCGATTGAAAATAAGGATGTAACCAACATTGCTGGGACGAGTAGAATAACTCGAAGCGGGAGAGTCTTCGCTCCTACTCCACCACCTCCTGAGGAAGTTATCGAAGAGATTCCTGTAAGAGATAAAGGGAAACAGGCAATTAATGATTCTCCTGGGACGTCTTTTGAACAACAAGTGGAGCAGTTAATCAGAGTAATCAAGAAGAGCGATTTCAAGGTGGTTGACCAGCTGAATCAGACACCTGCAAAGATCTCAATCTTATCCCTCCTCCTGTATTCCGAAGCTCATCGAACCGCCTTGATGAAAATTCTACATGGTTCCCATGTAAATCCTGAGATCTCTGTGGCCCAATTTGAAGGGGTTGTTACAAATATCTCTGCAGGAAATTGTCTAGGCTTCAGTGATGACGAGCTCCCTCCTGAGGGTCGGGCTCATAATAAGGCGCTGCATATTTCCATCAGGTGCTTAGATACTGTAATGTCTCGGGTCTTAGTAGACACTGGATCTTCTCTAAACGTGATGCCTAAGCATACTCTGCTCAAGCTAAACATAGACGGGGTGATGATGAAACCCAGTATGCTAACAGTCAAAGCCTTTGATGGGTCGAGGAGATCTGTAGAAGGAGAAGTTGACCTACCC